GGACAATTCTGGGAGGTGTGGAGAGGGCATCTTCAGGGTCATTTCCAACTCAGGGCCTGGGGGTACCTAATCTTGGCTCAGCTAGAGTCCTGGGATCTGCAGGTGAGCTATGGGACCCATCCAGGTAGTTTTCCCTTTCAGTTAGGACCTCAAACTTGTCACTGGGAGGGACAGGCAAATTTGAAATCTGAGCTGAAATAATAATCCTGGAAACACTGGAGGTGACTTCTACCTCTGCCAATAGAACCACAGGCTTCCTGGTGTACAGATTTATAGAGCACAGAGATCTTAAAATCTGGATCCTGATGGGGACTTTGGGGTTATCTACTCAAATCTTATCATCTTATGGCCAGGGATACTAATCCAGAGATGGGAAGGAACAAGTTCAAGATCCCACAAGAAGCCAGGATCAGAGCTGGGCCCAGAAGGAAGGTCCTTGGATTTCTGTCCCAGAACCCTTCAGTTCCTCTAGCACATGTCACTCTCCATGACCCCTGCTGGCCCAAAGTGCCCTGGCTGACCCTCACCCAGGACAGCCCAGAGAAATAGGGACAGAGTGGTGTTGCAGAAGCCACCTGAGCCCCTGAGTGGGCTTGAGTTGCACCAAGACCTTGCTCTGTGACTTTGGAAAGTCACATCACACTTCCACACCTTGCTTTGCTCCTATGTGAAAGGGAGATGGCAGCACTTTTGTACCCGGTTCTGTGAGGATGAGAGGAGAACTTGTATGTGAGGGCTCAGGCCCATGGGCAGGAGCTCCAGTGTGTGCAGGAATTAAGGAAGAGAAGCTGGGCTCCTCTAACCTTCTCATCAGCACCCCTGGCTGGGTTCTGGGATAAAAGGAGCTACGACCATCCCTGAGAGCAGTGAGTTGAGGGCAGAGGAGGAGATATGGGCATCAAGACAGTCTGAACCCAGCAGTGCTGGCAGCTAACTGTGACCATGGGCCACCTCAGGGGATGGAGGTCAGCCACTTAGAAAGGAACAGGCACCACCAGCTTGCCAAGGTCGGCAAGAGGCTGCCAGGCAGAGGCAGTGGGATATAGGTGCAGCAGTGAGGAAATAGACCTGGCCCAGACTTTCCCTTTGGAGGTGGGACAATGGCAGGGGTGGGTGGGAGTGGCAGTGCCCAGCTCTCAATTTAAAGCACATTTTACCTCAAAATATCCTGGTGACCTTGGGAGAGTCATCTCCTTACTGCACTGCACACCCTCACCCATATGCCTCAGGCTCCCCACCTGTGCAAAACTGGCACCATGAATCAAGAAACCAGCATTTAACTGGGCCTTGATAGAAAGAAGTTGAGACAGGTTGTCAATAACATTTCTGCCCCTGAGAAGGTAGCTTCAGTGGTTCCATGACCTTGGGAAAGTCATTCAAACCTTGTCTCTCAGCTCTGAAAAAGGGACAATAATGCCTTCCTTGGGGAGCTTTTGTAAGGATTATTGGAGCCAACTGTAGCATTGTGCACTGCACAGTCTGGTAATGCCCTCCACCAATGTCCACCTCCCCTGGGAAGAGAAAGATGTGCTCCAAACATTGTTGAACCCTTCCCACCTTATCCAGCTTCTCCTTAAGCGACTCTTACTTGTATTCTATCTGCTAACACTCATCCAGCACCTTACAGCATCAAAGTAGTTTCTCATTGACTCTCTCAATGACGTCTTTTGAACAGTAGAAACAGGCTCACCCGAGGCCACATAACCTAGATTTCACCTCATGTCTCTCTGACTTCAGAGTCCATGACTCCTGACTCCCACCTTTGAAAATCCAATCCATTCTTTAGTCACTCTTCAAGAATTCCTCCTCCATCCTTCACAGGAAAGTGGGATGGGGACACAAAGTTAAACAACCAAAAAGCTGGTGGTGTGTGGGAGCAGTTTCATAGCCCTATTTCTGGCTGAGGAGGAGCCTGCCACAACCTGGGGCCATGACCTTAAGATGGCCCCTGGACAGTGGAACTCTCTGGTCCCTGTCCTGCTGTCTGTCGCGGTACCTGCCTTTCCTCTTGACACAGGACAAAGACCATCTCAGGCCCCTGATGGTAGGAGTGGGGGAGTGGGGGAGGTTCTGGGGAGGTGAGAAGTCACAGCTGGGACAGAACACAGACACTGGGTACCATGTCAGACCTGGTGCCTTTCTCTTGCTCCCCTGAGCTCTTTCCTCCCAATGGACCTGCTGCCAGGAGCAAGAACTGCAGGAGGCATCGATACTGTCCAGTCAGGAGCCCTGAGGAGGGGGAGGAGGTGGCAAGGCAGAGGCTGCATCTCTTTTCTCAGCCTTCCTCTCTACTAGGAATTTGCCGTGGGGATGGGCCCACTATGGGCTCCAGAAATTCTCTCTCTCGGCATCCAGAAGGGCTGCCAAGAGCCCTCCTCCCAAACTCCTAGTGGCTATTTTCTCATCGGGGTCCTCCATAGGTTTCTCAGTGTGAGAGTAAATGCTAGTCTGTGAGACCCAGTTCTCATTGCCAGCTCCTGCTTCCCCAGGGGCGTTTGGGTAGCTGGGAAAGGGGCCAGACTGTCCTCTGGCGGGCACCCCCTGCTGGACAGAGGCCCAGCATTCTGGTGGGGGACGGCTCCCTCCACCCCTGCCAGTGACTAGCATCTCCACAGGGATCCCGCATGTAGCTGTCTCTTCTCTGGGAGGTAGGTCTGTCTCCTCAGTTGGGGGAGGCAATGGGACTGCAGTTGTGGGGGCCTCCCTGGATCTTGATGGGCAGGGGCATGGTAATGTATGCCCTGGGGGTCTTGTCCATAACCCGCAGGATTTTCACTTTCTCCTTCCCTCTCAGTGAAAAGAATAACGTTCCTCATCTCTGTCCCCCAGGTGACTCCCACGCCCAGACACTTTAACAGTTTACCAACACCCACCCTTTGCCCTGGGCCTGCAGACTAGGGTCCCAGGCCCTAGGTTCAACCCAGCCCCAGCCCTTCGGGGAATTCCTGAGCCCCACCAGGCGCTCTCACCTCCTTGCTGACCGCCGCGCTCTGATGGGCGCTGGAGCCAGGCCCTCTGGCCCGCCTTGCCCGGGCCGCCTCCTTGGCTCAGCGCGGCC